CGACAGCCCTGCTCCACGTGCCGCTACCTTCTGCAGCACGTGAAAGAAAGCTGCTTTTGTGCCATACATTTCACAGAAATCAACACGTTGTTTTTGGTTTTCTCAGACCCATGATAATTAGCTAAAAATAAAGCAGTAGGGATAAAGTTGTGTAGAAAAACATGGACTAGAAAAGTGATTTTTCTCATTTCACTTACATTTTCCTTTTAATATAGATGTACCAGTGATACACGATCAAAATTTATGTCTGAAGAGACAGATGGAAAAAACACAAGTGGCTAGTGACAGCTTAGAAAATGGGATTGATCAGATAAACTTTTAAGCAAAAATTATATTCAGTAATAGTAATTTTTCCCCCTCAGCTTAGATGAGTATTTTGTATATTGCTGACATTATGAAAGACAGTCCAGAAGATATGAAAACTGTGTTTTGGTGGATGGGTTCATTTGTTTAAATGCTTGTAGCTTTTTAAACTAGTAAAGTCAAATATATAACTCCCCCTAAATTTCACTAGCACAGAGCTTAATCTGAAACAAAATATAATGTATCTTACGATAAATTATGACATCTGTATATTTCTTGATTGATTGAAAGGAATCAATACTACTTTAACACTGAATAGACTGGACAGAGGGCAGAAGAGAGCAGTAACAGTGTGTGTGAGCTTGAGAATCAGACCGAGACTGGCTACATGCCTGGCGAGGTACTAAACTGCTCCCAAGTCCCAGTTTCCTCTGCTACAAAAAGCAGATGATAAAAATATTTGCCTCACATGGCTATTGTTAGGATTAAATGAGATGATGCAGCAAAGCACAAAACAGTGTTGGGCAGATGACGAGTGTCCAAAAATGTTACCTAAACTTTCTTACCAAATTTTGTAAGTAAATTAAGTGCTATTAAATCCCTAATAGATAATACTGTTTCTAAACAAAATTATATTAGATTTGCAGAAGACACAAAAAGTCATGTTTTCAATTTTTCCCCAACTCCACACAAAAAACAAAAGAAAAAACAAGTCTAAATCCTGCATCACTCACAATTCCATATTTTCGAAATTGATAGTGTCGGTAATTTTTCTTTCACTCACAACACAAGGCAGACTCACAATTCTAGGTCAGGTTGAACACTTAAATCTATGCATCAGTCTGCCTCATGCTGGCAGGTGATAACCTGGGATGGCAGTCCCGGAGTTCTCCATTTGAATAACGTTAACACAATGAAGCCACTCACACCGTGTTTAGCCAAACCCCCAACAGGAACACGGGCATGTGGATGACGAATAAACACCCATGCTTGATTGTCTACCTCCATTCTGGCCCAACAGTCTTTCTAAATAACCCAGGGTATTCCAATTAAACTAGGTCAGGACAGGGTAAGACAGCTCATTTTGATCCTATGCTCTTCCCAAAGGAATCAGTAACTTTTTTTTTCCTTTTTGGTACACTTATCACAAATGATATCTATGAAAATAGTGGGGGAAAAAAATCTAGGAATTCTGACTAGAAGCGGCAGGATTAATTTCCTTCTTTCTCAGAGAAAAATGACGGGCCCCTTCAGGTACAGCACTACAGACAGTACAGATTCAGTATGGCAGACACACTAACGATCCGACCCAGATGTGTCCGCAGCCTCGTCTCCACAACCTGCGGATATGCTGCCTCACCTGGCAAAATGGACGGCTCTTCAGCTGTCATTAAGTTAAGGGTCTTAGATGGGAAAGACTAGCATGCATTATCTGGGTGGGCTCTACGTCATCCCCCTGGTCCTTAGAAGCAGAGAAGGCTGTGGTCAGAGAGGGGGCTGTGACTATGCAAGGGTCAGAGAGATGCACTGTTGCTGGCTCTGAAGCTGGAGGAGGGAGTCAGAAGTCCAGAAATGGGGGTGGCCTCTAGGAGCTGGAAAGTAAACAGACTCTCCCCAGAGCTCCAGAAAGGAACACAGCCCCGCCTTGATTTTAGCCCAGTGAAAATCATTTTGAACTTCTAACATACAGAACTGTTACATAATAAAGCTATGTTATTTTAAGCCACTAAATTTGTGGTAATTTGTTACAGTAGCAATAGAAAACTAATATAATCAATATTTCCACAGTCTTATATACTAGACTTTCAGGATCCATGTTGTTTTACTACTATTTATTCTTTTAAAATGCAGTGTTTTGGAGAGCAGGTCTCCCTACATTACTTTAAACTTTCAAAATCTAGAAAAAAGGTTTTAAAAACAGCTTTTAAGAGTTACTAGCACTGGCCTTTAGAGCTAAGACAATTTCCTTCAAAGAGCATAGATGGTTAATGTTAAACATTCAGTATCTTTTCTTTTCCTGAAGATGGTTACAAACCAAACTCTAAAGATAACCTGTAATGGTTTGTCTAAGAATAAAATCAGCTATTTTATTTCGTAGACTCACATAACCTGCTCCTACCAAAGGGCAATTCATCTGACCAACACAGGAGCATAAATGCCTTTTTCTAACTGATTTAAGGCTCTGAGTTTATCATATGTCCTCCCTCCACTAGGACACAGCTGCCCCTCAGGATCCAGGGGGTGGGAGTGAGGGGGCTCCAGGACACCCCTCAGATACCAAAATCCACAGATGCTCAAGCCCCTTATATAAACTGGTGCAGTATTTGCTTAAAACCTACATCCATCCTCCCATGTACTTTAAATCGTCTGTAGATTACTCATAACACCTAGTACACCGTAAATGCTACGTAAATAGTCATAAACATAAATGCTACGTAAATGCCAGCACAAGGCAAGTTCAAGTGTTGCTTTTTGGAACTTTCTGGAATTTTTTCTCACCCCTGAACATTTTCAATCCGTGTTTGACTGAACCTGTGGATGCAGAACCCGTGGATACGGAAGGCCAACTGTTTCATTCTTCAGGGTTCATCCCTGATGAAAACCAGCAGTGAGGACTCCCAGGGCGGCATCGAGGCCGCAGCTCCCACATACCTAAGTTCGTCCATCTCCCTCTTCTTTTTCATCTCTTCCTTTTCCCTCCTTTTCATTTCCTGAATCTGGGCTTTCTTCTCGTTCCTCTCTTCGCGGTCTCTGCACTCTTTCTCTGCCTCCAGGTCTGGGAAGCGCTCCATTTTGGTCTTTTCTAAGCGGTTCAGGATCTCATTCACTTTCTTCTCCACTGTCACAATTTTCACCTTTGAGGGAGACAGAAGGGGAAAATACTGCATCTTTATTTTATGTACTTCCCCCCAGGACAGGGCAGATGCTTTCCAGGGGCTTAGGAACCCAGCTCGACTCCCTTTAGGAAACATGCATCATGCTGAGCCCTCCACAGCACAGGTGTCAGGAAAGACAGATGTCCCACTCAGGGCGCTGCCACTGCCGGGGACGCACGACACTTACATCCTTCTGCCTGTGGAAGCCTATCTGTCCCACATCCATGTCAGCCGTTTTCTTCAGGTTAGACCACGGTGTGTACACCACATTAACGTTGTTCATCTTGCAGCCTGCCGAGAAAGACCGGCTTCAGCATGCAGGCAGAGTGACACTGAGCAATGTGTCCCCTCAACCGTGATTAAATAAGCTATCATATCCGACAAAGGAAAAGGCCAGCCACCGGGTGTTTCAAACCACAAAATAGTCTTAAAAAAAAACTACCCAGTGAGGCAAATGGTAAAGCTGACAAACAAGTCAGGCCCAAGTGTTACGATGGAAGCAGGGGTCTACAGATCAGCTACAGGGACTTTTGAGACTCTAAAGTTGAACGGAAAATTCACTACGAGTGTTTTTAAAGAGAAAAGGACCAAACAGGTTTCCTCAAATTCTCAAAGGAGTCCTTGATCTAATAAAGGTTAAGCAGCAAGATAAAGCAAAAAGCATTGACCTGAAATTCAAGAGACCTGCATTCTACCCTGGTGCCACTGCCAAACAGCTGTGTCACTTTGAAAGAGTCCCCATGGCTCTTGGAATCTCATCTGAAACACGAGGAAATTGGACTAGTTTAGTACATTTTTTGCTTTTTTATTTCTTTTAGCAGTGGAATCTCTCTTATCAATCAAAGCAGGGATGCTCCAGAAGAAAGAGGGGCCAGGTATCCTTGGTTCACTCCTCCTCCTCCTCTCCCCTGACCAACCCTACTTCACGTTTCCCCTCTGTCTGACAGCTTCCCAGGTAGCTCCAAGAATTACAGTTTAATCACTGGTCCTCTAAGGCCCTTCCAAATTAGATAGCAATATATTTCAATGTTTGTTAAATCACCTCATACATTGAGGAAATCTAGTGAACATCACCTTACCTAAGCGATCAAAGCTAACATCACCAAAAAGGAGGCAAATTGGCACCATGTGCCTCCTAACTGTCATGTACAAGACTTCACTTACGTAGTATTCCCACCAGAAAATGGGCAGTGTGACCCTACTGAACAGGAAGCATCGGACCAAACCAAAGTGGTCTCCACTCTGAAAGCACCAATATCTTGAAAGACAGAGATATGTCCAGATTAAAGGAGACTAGAGAGACATGACAAGTAAATATAACACATGATCCTGGATCAGAAAAGAATGCTATAAAGGGACAGCGGTGGGGCAACTGACAAAACTTACACATGGACTCTATATCAGATAACAGTATTCTATCCATTTCCTGAATTTGATCCTTGTAATGCAGTTACTTAAGACAATGTCCTTCTTAGGACATGCTGAACAGTCATGATGTCTACAATCTTCTTTCAAATGGTTCAGCTAAAAAAACCATTGAGTATATTACAGAGAGAAAGTAAACAAATATAGAAAAAAAAGTTGAATCTAAATGAAAGGCATACAAGAGCTGTGTTTTTCTAGCAACTTTTCTGTAGGTTTAAAATTTTTTTTCAGAATTAAGTTAAAAAAAAAATCTCCATTGTGGGAGATACAAAGATGGATCGGATAATGGATCTTGCCTTCCAAGATTAAGGAGAGCAGATAAGTACATTAATAACTTCAACTAAAAGCAGAAGTCATCAAATGATTCTGGAAGAGATACAGGTAGAGAGCTAAGGTAGTCAGAGAGGGCAGCGGTCACGCAGAGCTGGGGGAAGAGAAAGGAGCCACGGGAGAGATTAAGTTCCTTAATTCTTAATTCTTTAAGCTCGGCTTCCTCACCTGTAAAATGAAAATAATACCTAGCACAGTAGGGTTGATAAATGAATCACCTGTCATGTTTTTGGCAGTGCCAGGCATGTAACGAACATTCAGTGTTAGCCATTATTACTAGTACTACAATCACTGTGTGGACCTTGAACCTCAGCATGGATCTAGACGTGTGATGCCTGAGCAGCAGACAAAACTGAGGGCAGAGGGAACAACATAAGCAAAGACATAAGGCAGGAAAACAGCAAAGTTTGCTGTGACTGGACTCTGAAATATATGAAGGGAACAAAGTCTAGTCAGATCAGAGAAGCTTACACGCCTGCTTAGGAAGTTTGGACCGAACTGTATAGACAAGCTGAGGGGTGTCACAGAAAGTGTCTAAGCTTTTAGAAAGTTTAATCTGGCAAGAGATTGTAAAATGAATACAGAAGAGACGGACTCGATTCTATGACGACAAATAGCACTGAAGGTGCTCAACCAGGGAGGAAAATATTTTAATGGCACTGGACGCAAACAGAGGGCACTCGGCAAACCTCACAGCAAAGACAATCTTCTGCTCCTCAGCATCCCCTGCTACTGACCCCCGAGAGTGAGAGCCTTGGGCTTAGCTCCTCATTCTGCTAAGTGAGCTACCCCTGTGGGGCTAAGAGGAGAGAGCGATTCAGTGTCATGACTCTTTCGTCCTCTTTTGTTTTCTCGAGAACTAGTACACTAGAAAGAGATTAAGAAGAGGGAGGCTGGGCCAAGAATAACGAGTCCAAAGCTCTCTTAATAAAGTCACATCTGCAAGCCAGGGGCATAGGAAGGGGACAAAAACACGTGAAAGCGGTTGCAACACACAAAGAAAGAGAATAATGATGGTTTCAATTTTTATTACTTTCATTTCAATAACCAGAGATCTTAACTGGAAACCTTAGAAACTCTTTTCTACTCATAAAAATGGAATGTCCTAAAAACAACTGCAATTTAATGATTTATGGAGTTGAAAATGAGTGGCTCTACGAGACACGATTTCCACTTTCTTAGGCTAGGTACCTGACTCAGTAAAGCTGCCCGAGTGAGATTCAGGAAATGCAGTCTAAGTGATGGGGAAGGGGTATACACTGCCCAGCTCTTATCCTGTGATTACTGACCCCTGGTACCTGCTGTCGGCTATGTGTCTGCCCCATGCTTATCTTCTATGCAGACCGTATTTTTTCCCAATCCTCTGGATCATCCCTCAACTTCATATCCTACCAAACTTACCTCCATTCTATCCAGGAGTATGTCCTACAACTAAAATCCAATCTACTAGCTCAATCATCCTTAGCAGAACACCACCTCCCGGCTCCCCTTTTTAACTCCCACCTCTACTCCATCAATCATCCTTCTTGACCTGTACTGACTATTGATGGATTAAACCCTGTACAGTGGAAACAAATAAGCACCAAGCGCAGTACTACAGGTCCTACCTAAAACATGTAGGCCGACTGTCTCAAAGCCCTTTGCACGCTAGAGTCGCCTGGAGGGCACTGTAAAAATACTGACTCTCACACATCACCCCAGACCAACTCGGTAAGATTCTCTGGGAGATAAAAAGATCAATGGACTTGATACCTTCAGTTTACAGAGAGAAAAAAGTACGTAAGGAGAGAAGGAAAGAAAGAAAAAGTAGGAAAGAGTGATTTGGAAACTTGGGTTCTAGGCTCTAGTAACAAATAATGGAAATAAAGACATCAAACATTACAAAGAAAGCCATGAGACACATCTCTTGCTTAGCTATTAGCATAATCTAACTTCCAAAAGTGTTTCTGTAAATTACCTTAAGTGTAGGCAGTCTAGACAACTTTCTATTCAAGGTAAGGAAAACAGGGTAGAAAGAGTCGAGACAAGGCCATGAACATTAGGGGGAGGGAGATTGGTTTTTAGTTCTTTGACAGGTAGCACAACTGCCATCTGAAAGAACAAACCAGGGGAGAGGCATATTACACGTTATCCCTTTGACTCCAGCCAAAGTCAGCCATCCGTTCTCTACGATATAATTTCAGACACAGAGAAAGTGGTGCTACTTCTGAAAACTCCTCCAGCAAAACTGACCTTGAATGCTATTGGCCTTCACAAGATGGGCACAGTCCATCAGTACTTCCTTGGGAATGTCTTCTATTTTCTCCCCCTGAAACACAAAAATAAACCCAATCGCTGACAACCTTGCTCCTGATCAATACTGGAGCACTGTTAATAGGGCTCTGCTATCTGACTAGGCACAATTTTATTAGAAGCAGGGGTTCTTCAGCTGCATTTCAGAATATTGAAAAACGAAGTCCATTATGGAAATGTTTATTTAAACTAAGAGAAGTCAGCAATACTGATACTTAGTAAGTGGGGGAAAAAAAACAGGGTATGAAAGAAAACCGCCAAAATATTAACTGTATTTATGTCTGAATAATTTTTCTTTCTTTCTTCTCATTCTAACTTTTAGAAACCTTGTAGGGAAATGGTGCTTATTTTTCACAATAGGAAGTCTTCTTAGCTGAGGTCCCCATAACTCCCTCTCAAGAGACATTTTATAGTTTTGGGTCTCCATCATCTGGTTAAGTCCTCAGCATTAATCAGGAACCAAGCTCCTGATGTGTTAGATACCACCTTCCACCATAATGGAGAAAAAAACGTTGATTCACTCTCTTTACAGATAACATATCAAAATCAAAGCTGAATAAGCAGTCATTCCAAAAGAACAAAAATATTTCAGAGGCAAGAGCTGGTGGATATCAACACAGCTCTGGCTCCTGTTAGGTATGAGATTGCAGAAGCACTTCTACATGGAATGAAACACTTTATCTACCTAAATATTCGAGGTAAATTAAGTTTATTCACTCTGTTTCTAATTTTTTTCTTAAAATGTTTTAAAACAGGAGTCTCTCAGATACCTAAATTTTGACCCAAAAAATTAGTGATGTAAGTTTGTCACTACTTCAATGACATACCTTATCCTGGGCAATTCCCTGACCGCTTAAATAGAGGATTCCGAATTTACCATCTTGATAACACAATGCCATCATTATGAGTATCAGCCATTACACTAGGCTATGATAAAGTGACAGTGGGTGCCTTCAGGGGCTTCTGAACACACAGAAGCTGACTGATCCTATAATAAGCAAATCAATGAGTAATTAAAAAACAAAACAACAGCTACCACTTTTTGAATACACACTTTTGAATGTTAGGTACACAGAGTGAAGAGCCATAGGGAATGGACAGTATTATGCTCGTGTTACCAATGAAGATGATGAAGCTCAGCGAGGTTAAGTAACTGGGCCAAGGTCTCCCAGATCGAGTAAGTGTCAGAGCTGAGAGACGAACCTCGGACTACAGCACAACTGGCCGCAGAGAACGGTGCTTACGGAGATCTTGTTTCTTAGTCCTTGATATCAGGCTCTGCCCAGTACCCCTTCCCACCCCCTGTAGCTACTGCTACTCCTGAAGCCCCTCCTCTTCGTTTTCCTACTTCTAATGTGATATGAGCAGACCAGAACAAACAAAACCATCCAGCTCAGCAGTATGCAAAGTCCGAGTAAACAAACTCTGCAGGGAGAATCCAAGGTACCCTCAACATGTAAAGGCCAGAATTTTGACTGTGGGCTTTGTGTCATCTATGTGAATGAGATAAGAAACCTCTCAATAAGTGAGGCTTTCCTATAGGCTTTCAAAAATCAAAGGAGCCTAGGAAAAAACACTTGCTGAATATCCATGGTCTTCAACGTTTGGGGTGAATTCAATTCAACAAAAAAAGAATGAACACACATAGCACTTAGCATATGCCAGGTGTTATTCTAAATGCTTCAGTTATGGTAGCTCATTTAATCTTCACAACAACCCGGTAAGATATGGACGACTAGCTCCCTTTTCCAGATGACGAAATGGGCACAGTTAAATATCTCACTCAAAGTCACACAGCTAGTAAGCAGCGGAGGCAGGATTCAAAGCCAGCAGTCTGGCTCCAGAATCTGGGTTCTGAATCACTTAGTCTTACTGCATCTCTAATGCTCACTTGGTACCTGCTAAGCACAAAGAGCTATGCCGTTTACTGCTGGAGATCAACTAGGTAAAAGTTCCTTAAGGAGCACACATTTTCATCAAGCACATTATGTGCTTCCAAAAGAAAATGAAATCAAACTTCTGTTCAAACAAGCAATAACTGGTGATAATGTGAACTTGAGACTACCACCAGTATTTCCATTTCTGACACAGCAGAACCCAAAGGAAAAAAATTTAATCTGAACCAAAAGGAAAGTTGGTAACACCATACTTTTATCTTCTCTAAACTTAAAATCGTTCCAAAACGGCAAAGAATGGCCTGGGAAAACTCAGAATTTTTTTCCAGCACTGAGTTCACAATCTTCCTCTTCTCCTTTACAATATGGTTCTCAAAAATATAAATAGGATAAGTAACATGGGGCACAATGTTTAACCTTGCTAGTAAATTTAAAAGTAAGTAAAAATTAAGTAAATTTAAAAGTAAATAAAAAATAATTAAAAATTAAAAAGAAAGTAAATATTCTAAGTATAATGAAGTAGCACCTTGTGTTTATTAAAATGGTCAAAAGGGTGCTATTCTTAAGTTATAAAATTCCAAAAAAGTTTTGGAAAATCTATGTATATCTATCAGATAGAATTTTAAGCCAGCACAGTATTTTCAAAGGGCAATCTGGCATAAAAGGAGTTACCTTTTTATTTCCCAAAATGTTTTTATCTTTTGACCCAGTAATTTCATTTCTGAGAATTATTCTAAAAAAATTCAAAAGAAAAACATAAAGTAGTTCATAAAAATATTTCTTGTTGGGGATTAATAATGGTGAAACTGTAAGCAATTTATAATCCGACAAGGGGGCTCTCAAATTAACTGTGGCATATTATCAGCTCAAAGCAGCCAGTCAAAACAATCAATGTGCAAATGATACAGTAAGATGAAAAACTTTATAAACTGTAGCTTTAAAAGTAACACAATCAACCAAGGGAATGCCAAGGTGGAATGCAGACCAAGACAAAATAATCTAAGTGCATGACATAATATCACTGAAAAGCCTGGGGGAAAAGGTACTTACAAGTAACTTTGAAAAACAGTGTTTGAAATGGAAACTGTAAGGCAAAACCCTAAAATAACTGCACATAAACACTGTACTTTAGCTGATAAAGTTGTTTCTTATGGGGATACAGATTAACAAATCTGAAACTACTTCCACATATACTAGATTCAAATAAGCAAACAATGGTGGATGGTGGGAAGCCAGGCTTCCCACTGTCTGAGGAGGAAGTAATAGATAAGCAAGGAAGGAAGGTGAGAAAGGCCCCTGTGGTAACGGAGTCATCAGAGACATCAGTAGGCGCACCTGTGTAGCTGCACGTAGACACAGAAACCCTTATTCACATGAATTGCTAACACACCTTGTGTACATACATGTATTTTCCAGCTCTGTCAGGTGAGAGGGCCTAGAAGCAATGACACTCCAGTAGCGATGAGCACATTCAGAGTCCAGATCTTGATTTCTAAATACCATTTCCCAATAAAAAGAACCAAGGTTCCTTGGAGAGATGGCTAGTGCTAGCGCTGGGGCAAAGAAAACACAAGATGAGCCTGCAGCGTCTTGCAGTGCCAGAAAGTGAGACATGCTCAACACCAAAATGACAGGAGTATGTCAGAGGAACACAGGAGCCAAGGTGAGAGAGTCATAGCAGGGACAAGTTTAGTAACAAAATAACATAGTACTGGATTCTAACCCAAAGTATTAAAAAAAAAAAAAGGAGTCTGTACTGATATAAGCAAATGACTGAATTAAATACATGGGGGAGAAGAGATAACTCTTCCCTACAGAAGAATTTCAAACAATATATGCAGACACCCCCCATTCCAGGATGTGTAGCTTAATTCCATCCTCTCCCCCTTGAGTATGAACTGGACTTAGTGACCTGCTTCCAAATAATACAGTGTGGAAGTGGGGGAAAAAGCAACTCTCTAGTGGAAAAACCTGGCAAACACTACCCTGGCCAGGAGATCAAGGTTAACACCATCGTGGTAAGTCCTGTTAATGCATGTACCCCTGACATGATGGGATAAGAGCACCTCACCTCTGTGCTGTTTCTCCCCCAAACCTGTAACTCATCTAGTCATGAGAAAAACATCAGATAAACCCTCATTGAGTGACATCCTATAAAAACCTGACCAGTACCCCTCATACCGTCAAGGTCATGACAAACAGGGAAACAGTGAGAAACTGTCACAGACCAGAGACTAGGCAGACATGACAACTAAAATGCAATGTGCGACCTTGGACCAGATCCTGGAACAGAAAAAGGACATTAATGGAAAAATCAGAGAAATCAAAATAGAGTCCAGAGGTTAGTTAACAGCGATGCACCAATGTTGGTTTCTTAGTTCTGACAAATCTACCATGGTAATGTGAGACGTTAACAACAGTGCTAACTGGACGGGGGAGATACAGGAACTCACATTATCTCTGCAGCTTTTCTGTAAATCTTAAATCATTCCAAAATAAACATTTTAAAAAAGCAATACACATTATAATTATCTATACCTTATGATTCAACTATATAAAATATATGAATGTAGAGACAGGTTGGAAAAATAGTGGTTTTATGTTACTAGGGAACATTAAATCTTTTTCCTTTACTACGATAATGCTGTTTTACATTTCCCAGAGAAGCCCCTGACAACTAGGAGCATCTGCCCTTGGTGAGACAGGAGAGTCACATGAGTCTGAGAAAAAGGAATCACAATATGATCTCCCCGGGAGAAGACAGAAATGTCAACTGAAATGAGAGGGAGAGAAAGCAGAGGCAACACACAGCACACTTCAGCTGGCAGGACAAGACAGTGCCTCTGGCCGGAAGTATGTACTGTGTCCCCTTCCAAGCCTCAAAAATCACCAAAATTTCTGGCTGATTTTCTGGGTTGGGGGAAGACATCTCTTCATTTGCTAATTTTTAGACTTTTGTACATACTTACTACTTTAAAGCAGCTTACTTACAAAAAAAGGATAGAGGACAAGATATGATGAAGAAAAAGTCATGAATCCATGTTTAAATCCAGTTACCTTATGTAATCGAAGGTATACATGAGCCGAAGAGAGTTTGTCCACATGAAACCTACGAAGAATGAAAACCACTTTTAGCAAGACGTACACGATAACCAGCTCCTCAGGCCACGGGCATTAAAGCGTTCCAATCCGAAATGTGGACTCGGTGCCTACCATGCACTAAGCCCAACGCGGAGCATAAGACACAGTCACCGTGGCCGCAGGGCTCGCTATCAAACGGGAGCGGTGAGAGAAACGTGGGAAGTTCCGTGGCTGCGTGAGACTCAGTGCCAAGATGAGCACAAGAGACAATACGTGTTAAGTGCCCTGGGATGGGTGAGTTCTCAAATGAGAAAGAGCCATCGGTGACCAAAGGCTTCACTGATGAGCTGAGATTTGGTGGGTCCCAGGCTGAAACACAGGACTTAGAGCAAAAACTAGGAAAGGAACTTTAGGTGAGAAGAGAAGGGAATGAGAGAAGTCATCGAGACTCCAGTGTCGTAAGCCTGGGAGACTCGCTGGATCACTGACAGAAACCCCTTACAGCTGCAGAGGGTGCCAGCTTAGAAAAATGATGACAGGTTTGGTTTGGGACAACACGAATTTCCAGCGAAGGCAAAACAATCCAAAGAGAATGCCAATCAGAGTTGGGAGAGTCAAGTGAAGACTGAAGACAGTAAGCAGACCACAGCACAAATCAACAATTCATCCAGACTTACGTCCAACAATGGCACTAATATACTTGTCCTGGGAGAGCAGGGTGATTGCTGGTTACAACACTGTCCTAAATTCAGAATGCCCTCCCACCCCAATGTCCCTTATTTATCTTACATTAAGGCTCTATCAGTCACCAATTAAAATTAATGATTTCACCAAGTCCAACATTTTGGGATATTAAGTTTTTCATATTTACAATTCACCAAATGAAGCTGACTTCTCTTTCCAACACCCAGAGATGCCTCCAGAATGCTAACAGACAATGGTCACACACCACCAGCACCTTGTGACTCTGTTAACTTTAGTCATCTCTTCCTTAGTCCTTACCTTTCCGGACTGAGGAGTGTTCAGTAAAACCCTAAGGAGGCATCATGACATCCCATTATATATTTCTCTAGACATTTTCTTAGCATTACTGGATTTTTTAGAACTGAAATGGCTACAACCTCACACCTCGTCCAAGAGGTAGGCAGTGTGATTCTACATAAAGATTAAGATTATTCTGTTTCCAATGTCCTCTTTAAGGTTAAGCATCTTGCTAGTCACTTTGGATGTAGAAAAATGTTAGTTTTAGCATCTATGATGACTCTCGGTTTTATTCTTAACCGTTACTGATAGCCAGAAATGAATATATAATCTTAGTTTGATTAATTTTTTCCTATTGGTTAATTTAGTCATTTGCATTCTCCTGTAAGTGATTCTTACCGATGATCATCTTCGCTTGGCATTTTCCACCTTTTTTTTCTGAAATCTAGAAATTGTATCTCATCACCCTCTTTCAGCATCTTAGGAAAATATACCCCATTAGTAAGCAAGCTCAACTAGAAAATTTCTCCCATTCCAATTTATTTTAAGACAGTTCTCTATTTACAACAACTCTTTCCTGTGTATCCATAATAGCTCAACTATATTCTGATTTTTCTTTAAAGTCTCTGATGTGGAATTTTGTGAAAAGAAATACACAAATAGCTCAATATCTATCTACTGGGTTCATACACAGGTAGTCAAAGTACTAAAACACACACAGGAATATCACTGCTGATCTTCTCACAGGAACCGCTAGAGAGGGCAGGGGGAACACATGGACTTATGGGGCTTTGACTGAAATGTAAAACAAACAAACAAAAAAGCCAGCTCTGTAAATAAACTATCTTGAGCAAGTTTCCTTAAAAACCTTTTAGAACCTCCGCAAATGCTGCCTCAGAGGTTAAATTCGGCCAATTAGTTCCCTAGTTCCTTCTCTTGTTACCTTCCTCTCCCTGCTTAATCACTATCACCCTTTACTGAAGGCAGAGACTAGAAACGTCAATAATTGAGCATCCATGACCTGAGTGTGCAGAGGTGCAGGGAACCCAAAGCTGGCTGGTTTAACTGCTTCAGGTAGGGTCTCTGGAAATACTACTTATCAGGGAGTTTGGAGGTAGTAACCGCACACTCTTGCCATGTCCCTTTTTTTTAAGATGAATTTAATTCTGTTCTCATTTAACCCTAGAAAAATCCTTTGCTTAAAAGCACCTCAGGAGGCTTTCAGGTGTAAACTCAGATGCTGACATTCACAGAGGTTAAGTTCCAGAGTCGACGTCAGAGTGGCTCAGGTTGAAAATCTGCCCTGGAATGTGGATCAAGTGATCCACACGTCTGACCAGGAACGTTTCCAGGATTGACAGTTTATGAACCGGAACAGGTCTTGAAATTGTGGGCTATTCCAGCTCACATCAGACCTAGAATAGCTTCTGAAAGTCAAAGTCAGTCACTTCCGACAACAGGTATTAAATCTCAAGACCATTAAAGTGTCAAAGTCAGTGTCCAGGCACCTGCACACACCAAGTTGGTAAACAGCATTCTGAGACACGGTAAACCTTAATGCAATGGAAAACCCAAGTCATAACACATGAAGTGTAGGTTGGAAATTGGAACTTTCTCTTCCACTTACTAATTTTCTTTTTTTCAAACGTCAGATAAAAGGCTGTGGTAAATTGACTTTCATGGTGCATCTGAACATGTAACCTTTTCTGTGCAGGTGTTTCTGCCCCTGACAGCAGATAACTACAGGAACAATCATTCTTAGCTCCTGTGGCACATCTGGAGATCTCTGAGCTTAGACTGGGTTTGGTGAGCAGCAAAATAAAATTATTTTGGAAGGATGCTAAGAAAGCATGTATTGTTATTTTTAAAATTTCCATGAGTTATTTTAGAAAGAGGGAGTAGGGGCTAGGCCAAGCAAGGGTTAAAGTCTTTGTCGGGAAGACAAAGGGAATTCAGTCTGTATTTTTTTTAAAGCTGGACCTGGTCGGACACTCCGTCTGTTCCATCTACGTGGAAGCTTGGGTCTATTTTCTCCACTGCTTCTGGTGAAGCCCTCATGCACCCGCTCGAGAGGGGTGGTCTGAGTGTGTGAGAGCCGGGGTTTCAGGAATTTACTGAGAGGAGACACACAGGAGGTAAAAGGCAGCCTATGCTCCCGAGGCCTTTGCGGTCAGGCCCCAGATTTAACCCTAAGACCTCATGCTCAGTTTCCGCGGTAATTATAAATGAAGGGGGCTGACAGTCAGCTATTTACCACTGAACACTCATAAACAAAACACAAAGCATGAGTTCTAGTTTTAATCATAGGAGTCAGGTGGTTGGCCAAGTCTAGGAAAGTAAATAATGATCCAGAGAAAGTAGAACCAAAATTGTTACTTACCAAATATCCTCAGGCCAGCCATACTTTATCAGATCTTCATCTGCAGAGAGAGAACAAAGGAAAAAAAGAAAAATGAAGGTCTTAAGAGATACAAACCACTACATTTAAAATAAATAAGCCACAAAGGATATATTGTACAGCACAGAGAAATACAGCCATTGTTTTGTAATAACTTTAAATGGAGCAGAGTCTAAAAAATACTGAATTACTGTGTTGAACACTTGAAGCTAATAATACTTTAAATCAACTATACTTTGATAAAATTTAAAAAAATTTTTAAAAAGAAGGTTAAATGAAATATGCCAGAATTTATCATACATACATTTATCATACATTCCTTTCCACAAAACTTTTTCTTTCCCTTAATGGAGAAAAAGGTTTTGATGCTTGAAAACACAGGGAAAAAATGTAAAAACTAGTTTGACAATTGGACAATTATAATTTTAATAATACTCGTAGTCTAAAATTCAAAGATATTTCTATTTGAAGATAAAACTAACACTCACAAATCAGAGCAGCAAAGATGATGCATTAGAAAATTGATTCACTGTAATAATACTATGCATTAAAATGGTTTTTGCTAGAACTTTAAAGCCAGTGGATTGTATTTTACTTCTTAAAAAAAAAAACAACTTCTCAATTATAAAATTGTAGAAAATTAGGTTATACAAACACCAGAAGTATACAAAAGAAAATGAAATCCACCTAAAATTCTGTTACATATGAAAACAAGAATAAAATAGAAAAAAGACAGGTAAACGTTAAAGTAACTGTCCCTAGGGGTGGAACATGGGTATTGGAAAGGATGAGGAAGGGAACTGTGTTTTACTACAAGCTTTTTGTTATTATTTGAATTTTTACGCTATATATTTGTTAGATGAAAATAAAGTAAAAATTTAAAAAGTTCTTTGGAAACAATGACTGCTTGATTCTACCACATGGATAAACTTTTCTATTGTTCACATTTGGATTGCTTTAATTAATGCTTCAGTAAATATTTTTTAGACAAATATGTCCACATTCCTGATTATTTCTTTAAGGTATATTTCAAAAAGGTGAAGTATTCATTCAAAATGTACACATATTTAAAGGCTAATAACATGTATCACTATAGAAAGGCTATCTCAATGTATACCTCTAACAGCCATATTAAATTAGTAACTAATTGTGTTTAATACAGAAGCATTTTTAAAGTATTAAACACAAAGTTAAAATGTGTAAGGTAAACACAATGATTCATATATGACGATTTAAAATGGGCTCAAGAAAATATAATCTACCTAACCTGAATGAGGTATTTATTTTCCAGACAAGGAAAAGGATAACAGAGTATCCTCTTGGGTGAGGGTGCTCAAAGCAACTGCAGACACCCCGAGTTTTCCAAAGGGTTTCCTACTAGCTTCAGTGAGAAGCTGAGCACACAGCCAACAGGTCATCAGAAAAAGGGAAATATGAAAACCTCTTTTCCTCATTCAGGCAACGTTTGGCTCCCTGGTGACACCTGCTGGCTAATAAAAGGAACACACCTGAAAGCTTTTTCGTGAAAGTAAATCATCCAACTTAAATTTCACTTATGTTCCATCCAGCCCTCAGTCTGAAGTCATCAAGACTGTTAGAAATGAATGCGATGTGCCAGGAGCACTAGAGAACAGGGTACCTTAAAAATGTAATCCTGTTCTTACAAAGCAGACTAGGAGAGTTGATGAGTCCAAGAGTTCCTGGGGAAAAGTGTTCTATACACAGATTTTTTTTCTACGCATATTTTAATGACAGCAAAACACCACTCCAGTGGGCTCCAGACAGAATCAAAATTTAAATCTGTAGACATAAACTAGATCTGTACCTGCAGATATAAATTCCTACAACAGAGGTTTAAGGGATTCCACGATCTAGCCCATCCTCACCCAGTTCTCCACAAAGCCTTCTCCACTCTCCTAACCACATGTACTCTCTCCCACCACTACATCTACAGCATTTGTTATTAATATTACTTTTTTTGCCCATAATTTTTTTATACTTTATTTTTTAGAGCAGTTTTGGTTCACAGCAAAATTGGCCCCTATTTGCTTTCGTGTTCCTCCACCCGAGCGAATACTGTGAAAGCACAGAATCAGTCTTCCTCTTCGGACACTCACAGAGGCTGGCACGTGGGCTCACACAGACAAGCCCCAGTAAATATAGCAAACTAAACCGGAAGGAAAAGAAGACACAGCGGGAATGTCACTGGCACAGCCGTCTTAGTCAGGACCACTGGCAGCCCATCTGTGTGAACCAAGGCAGCCCTTCACTGTAAAAATACACAGAGCCCCCTCCCCAGAGCTGCACAGGGCCAAACTCACACCGTCTCTGCCTTCGATGCTTCTCAGGGACCTACGCCTTGGACTTACAGCCTTCGTGTGGTAGAGGGGAAAGCGGATTTGGTCGGGTTTGGATCCATACCTACTGTAGATACCGATGGCTCCTGTAACTGTGCCTTACTGCTCAGTGTAACACAGAGAAAGCATCCCCTCCTCAGCATCAGGAGGATGCTACGAGAAAAATCACCCACGACAACTTATGTGTGACTAGAAGAAATACCAAACTCAAGTATCAATATGCTTCAGACTGCATCTCCATTAAGTCACACCCAGAGTCGATGTCATAAATCTTTATATGGAAAAACTGTTTAAAAATTAGTTATTTTATGTTGTTTTTGTTTTTTCCCTTGGCTAGGATGTAACAATCTTGCTTATACTGATTCCACTTTATGGCTCCCAGTTTCACAGCAAGGTTCTAAACTGTTACATGGATCTGATTTATAACTACATAATTATACAACTATTATATAGATCACATCATATTTATCATGTTTTATACATTTTATGTATTATATATTATATGTACATATATGCTAACTATATATACTTAGTATATGTAACTATATACATATGACATGTTTTTATATGACTGTATACATAGGTACATATAAGTTATACATAACTTACCACTGTTTTTGACATCTTTTAACTTGGGGCCTTATTTATTTTGTTAATAGCAAATGTCTCACACTGAAGAATGCTCCACTTGCCTCTTTTAGAGGATCAAGTTTAAACTGTCAGTTACAAACTGCACCTAGAACACTGACGGTTCTAGAATAGGAAAAAACAAAGTAACACCTGGGGTTGTTAAAGAAAGGTGACTGCAGTGAATGAGGCAGCTCTCAGACTACTGAAGGCAGAGCCACCCAGCCATGGAGTGTTCCCAGGGCAGGAAGGAGGCAGCTTTGGGGATCTCCAGAGATAGATATAAATACAAATATTATAATATAATAAGATAATAAAATGTACAGAAAATGATCTTTCCAAAGTCCAAGCCACAGATTATTTTTATTTGATGAAAACTAGCACAGGTTAACCTCTGACTCACATCACCCTAAATCAAACGATACCACAAAACTCTTTGTAAGTTTCTAATCAGCAACATATGGTCCAATTAGTTCAAATACTTAACAGAACTAAATTCTAGGAAAGTTAATCAACTGGAATTCCTTATAACTGGTTAGTTAGTAGGAGTTAATTGAAAATTCATGTCCAATAAACCATGGGGAGAAAAGGCAATTAACACTTACCCGCTGGAAATTTCAAAATCAAATGCTTTTGAAAACTTACTTTCATATTTATCTTTTCCCATGTAAATAGTGTAGGCAGCTGAGTTAACTAGGGCAAAACAAAAATGAGACATAGTTAGGTAACTTCATCACCAACAAAACTGTTTCACGGGAAAAACAAGTGACAAATGCTTAGATTAGGGGTTGGCAAAACATGGCCCACAGGTCAAATCCAGCCCTGTTTTTTGGACAGCCCTGGAGCTAAGAATGATTTTTATACATTCAAAAGATTGAAAGAAGCAAAAAGAAGAAGCTAGAGAGACTGTATGTGGCTTACAAAGTCTAAAATATTTATTATCTGGTCCAAACAGAAAAAGTTTCCTAATTCTTATTAAAAATGGCTACTTTCCTACTTTCTCAAGGATACAGTTCAGTGCAATTCCAGTACAGTCCTATACTTCTGCCTTCTACAAAATAGCTATAAAAAGACTATACTTCAATAATATATATGTATATATGTATAAATAGCTTAAAAAAAAACAAGCCAAAACCTTCACTTCAACCATTTAAAAATAGGTTCCTATACTTAGGCACAAGTTTTATTTTTCATAATTTTATTTAGCCAATATTCGTTATGCTCCAGGTGTGCTGCATATTACAAGCTCCCTGCCACATTCAGGGGAAACACAGCTCTCAAACTTCTAATCAGTAATTCTGAGCCCTATTACACATTAGTATCACCTAACTATGCCCCAGCTCCTCCTAAGACTAACCAAATCCAAACCTCTGAGGACTGGCGTTTTTTTTAAAAGATCTCTTTTAGTGATTTTCATGTGAAGTCAGCCACATTAGTTAGGAACCACCACCCTAAATCAAACCGAATATTCTGGGTATGACTCACCTTAGGGAAGACATTTGCTTTACTGAGCTAGTGTGTTTTAACGTGGGCCTCCTCCATCTGGAGCCAAACAGATAGGTTTCCTAATTTAAACTCTAATTGGGTACTGGGTTTCCAAGCTGATCTACCAAAACCTGTCAGACCCCACTTGGATCTCGACTCCTGAATTAACAGTTCCTGGGCCGCTGTCTACAAAGCCCAGCAGACGGGTGCAAGGCTGGGCTGGGCAGTCTGCGGCTGTCGCTCCAGAGCATGGACTTACTGTGTGAGTGGAGCTCTGAAGGCCACGGAGCAGCACTCTTTCATGTACAGACCCTTAAATTCGGGACTGCCTGTACTTTCAGTGATAAGACGCTCCTTAAATGATCAGCCACACTTGTCTCTCTTGGGGACGGAAAAGTCTCAATTCCTTCAGCTAGCAGTTATGATGACACAGTCCATAATTACTTGGAAGTGGCCGAGAGAGAGGACTTGAAAGCAGAGGTTGTTTGCGTTGACAAGTTGACAGAAATACTTGCCTATAACTGAGCATCTTATTAGCTTGGTAAGCCCTTTGCACAGCATATAACAAATGCCAGGAGTGCAGGAATACAACCAAAAAAGTTTCAAATTCTCTCTGCATACTTAGGCCATTATTACATTTGTATGCCCTTTTGATCCTATAATGTCACCACCACAAGTATATACCCTATTAATTAATACACCATCAGGCAATGGTTTTTTTAGAACCTAAACACTCATTAATTAAGACTGGCTAAACACACTATAGAACATCAATAAACAAAATACCATGAACCCATTAAAAAGGGTAGGTGAAGAAATTAAGTAGCAGAACAGTACTTTTGTGTACCTATATACAGTAAGGTTCAATTTGTAAAAGATAGGTTAATTGTGTATAAACACATTTATATGTAATTTAAATATATGCACCTGTTTTCTTTAAAGTGTGGATGGATACACATTTAACTGTTAACAATAGTTATCTTGTCTACTTGCTTACAAAATGTATAGATGTTTGTAATCAGAATAAAGGTAATTTTTAAGTGATTAAAATAAAGCTGTTTCTGCAGGCCAAGCTATCTAAATTACCACCAAGAGGATGACAGATGATGGTGTGGATGGCTGATCTATAAAATGAGGTGATTAAGAACAAAACTGCTACAAGTCCAAGCTGAGGGGCGTTCTATAAAATAATCCAACTGACAATGTCAGGAGAGACAAAGACTGAGCAACTGCTCCAGATAAGAAGACGCCAAAGGGTAATGAATGACAAAGAATGCAACAGTGATTTGTAATTTTCCTTTGTTCTAAATTCATTATTAGGACACTGATGAAAATGGAATAAAAGCTGCTGATTAGATAACAGTATTGCTGCAATGACAATTTCTTAACTTTGATAATGAAAAGTATCTTTTTGCCAAGAGAATATTCCTGATTTAGGAAAAACACCCTGAAGTATTTAAAGGTAAAATTCAACTTACTAACAATGTTTCAGGTGAAAAAAAAAATCTGTGTGTGAGTGTGTAGAGAGAGAGGGAGGTAGAGAAAGACAAAGGGGTGAAAGGAGATGAGTTTGTATGGTAAAATGTTAGAATCTGGGGAGTCTGAGAGGAGGTTATAAAGGCAATCATTTTCTATTCTTATAACTTTTCTGAAGGACTGAAGTTATGTCAAAATGGAAAATTAAAAATAAAAAGGAGCATGATTGCTAAGAAGTTTGAATTAAACTCCTATCCACGTTAAAAGGATAAAGGAAAAGTAAATTGAATTATTCTGGTACTTTTGTTATTCTCACCCAAATAATAAAAGGTTGATTAGCATGGGAATTCATCATCTCGATGCAGGTGTAACCACCAACCCACCTTCAGAGGCGCTGTGATGATTTCATAATTTACATAACAATCTATCTTAAGACAGATGCTATTAAAAGGTCCTAAAAGTACAAGTGAACTTAATGAGCCATGTGCTGATATTTTGTGGGCCTGTAAATCAGATGGTCTTGAATTTCACACTAGAAATACAGCAAGGCTAATGTCTCATTATTCCAAGAGCATGAAACAAGAATTGAATAGATTTCAGCCAGAGATCCTAATTTGAAAAGGAAAGGCAACTGAGATTTCTATTGAGATTTTCTTTCCATTTAAAAAAAAAAGATTTTAGGCAGTAAACCATTAGCTGGCTGAAAAGCTTGGCTATCTATATGAGGTCATTTCCTGAAGAGTCTTTATGTTCAAGTTGTTTGCTATGTTGGAACATGTAAAGTTTTACCACCATCTTAGTGGAAAAGTTGTAATTTTTTCCATTAATTTTTCAGTTTTAAGAGCTGCACAAGTGCAGATTTAATTAGATTTAGAGGCCAAATATTTTTTCGACAGGAAGCAATTCTGATGTTATATAATGGAAGCCAATGAGAAAAATATGATCCACAAATCCGCTGAAGCACTCTGTGCTATTAAGGGCACCTGTCTGTGTATGACTGGTGCTCAAAGAATTTAGAATTGCTTTAAGGAGAATAAAGCAGCCAGCATAAAAAAACATTTAGTACCTATATGCCCTGCCTGTATTTTTTATTCCATTGTTGGACTTGTATAGATAACTACGCTGTTGGGGACTCTCGTGAGTGGAGACACTACAAAGAGATGCTCAAGCTATCTTATGACAGAGGGAGCAGGAAAGAGAGGGGATGAAAATGCTATTAGGGGCCTATAATGATTTTTCAGGCTAGTCTGAACTTTGTTTCTAGTAATTTTAATAATATGGGTAAGACAAACTGAACCTACAGAGGCAGAAGAATAGCTTATGACACACTGTGGAAGCCTAAACTATTAAGAAAAATAAGAGGATGTGACAGTGATGGACTAGGAGGGATGTGGGTCTGTGAGTTACAACTTCCCTAGGTTTCAATGTTCTCATGTCTAAAGAGCAAGTACCACCCGATTCAAACTCACACAAACATCATAGAGCTAGTTTCACTTAAATCTGGCCTTTAACAAGTAGGAAGAGAGTAGCAACAGAATAGAGTGTACTAGAAGTAAAAAAAAAAAATCATTTATTCAACAAGTATTTATTGAGTAACTATTATGAGCCAGGCACTATGCTAGAGAAACAAGATAAGGGGTTTACACTCTAGCTCAAGCATAAAGCAATTAATACCATGATAACTGCTATGTCAAAGGTATACACGGGTGTTAAGGGGGTCCCAGAAGAGGTATATCCAAGCAATTTCAGAGTAGGAACAAGGCGGGAAAAGTATTTGGAAAAGGTAGGCGAGAGCTGTCCTAAGACAAATAAGTAGCTAACTGTGGGTTGATTCTAGGCAAAGGGAACAACATAAGCAGAGAAATGAAGACAAGGCATTTTCTGGGAACTAAACACATCCTTTCCTTGCCTGTCAAAGACAAATCAGAAACATTATGCCACTTTTCAAGATCTGGGACATCAACCTTGTCCAATGAGTGACTGTATTGCCATTCCGGGGTCTTCTTACTGCTTTTTGTAGCATCCAGGCCCTACAACCCTTTTCTAGAAGGGTAATGCGCTATTCCTGTAAGGCAGAGCTGTTGGCAGGGGTCTCTTTCTCAAAGTGGGCAATTACCAGGGCACAACCAGACTAAAGGTTATGGGGGTGGATGGGAGAGGAAAGAGTTGGGATGGGGGTGTGGAAAAGTCCACAAACTGCCCAATTCCAGATAGCGACAGGAGGTCTTTCCGATTGAAGGACAAGAATAACTCCCGGAAGCAAAGACAGTAGGAGGAATTGGTCCCTCTACGCCCCCCAGGCCCTGACCAGGAGGCACACGGGGAGGACGGGGCCGGGCACGGCGAGTGGACCGTGAGGGCGGAGGAAGAGTCACCCAATGCCGAGGAGGCACTTAAAGACCAGGCTCCGTGGCGGTCTAGGGGTCCCAACTTCGGAGCCCCGTGGTCGAGCAGGAACCCGAGAAGTGGCGGCGCCCACTCACCGCTGCTGCTGGTGAAGTAGAACACCATGATCTCGGCAGCGGCGCGGCCACTCCAGCGCCGAGAAACAGCACTTAACTCTGGAAGCTCTGGATACCGGAAGCGCGGAGGCCGTCTGTGCCCCGGAACTCCTCCGAGAACTTCCGGCGGACGTCGGGTGACGTCATAACGCCTGCTGCCGGCACCGCCTTCAAGCCTAGCGAGGAGGAAGTGTGGGCGCGCTCGGGGCTTCAGCTTACTTGGGAGTTGAGGAAAAGGTTGGAGCCAGGACCATTGGTGGTTGGAAAGCAATGCAGGGAAACTGCGTCTTCTTAAGAGAAAAATGCCCCTGGCTGACTGTATTTTCAGACCCTCCACCCAGTTGGCGGTCAAGTCTTGAGGCTTCTTTGTTGGTTTTATCTGTCCCGTCTCACCCGCGTATGGACTCCTGAAGAGCAGAAAACTTTTGCCTTCTTCACAGCTGGGCGGTCACTGAGCCAATCACGGTACTTAACCGTTAGAAGAAGCTCATTAAGTTTTCAATAAACCCAGATTCCTCCAGGATTCTCATTCTTGCTCCACCGCTTGTTGGGCACATTCGGTGCCACACTTACCTTAACTGCAAAACGAAGATGAATAAAGCAGCTAATTTACAGGTTATTTTGAAGGGTCTAATAAATTCATAGGCACAAAGGATTTAGAACATAGTGAGCAGTCAATTACAGTGAGTTGTTGGCGGTATGCTTCTTTGGATTTGGACTCAGACTGCTCTGCCTTTAAATCTGAGTTCTGCCACCTATGAAATTGGGCAAATTCCAAACCTCTGAACCTCAGTAAAGTGGAAATATCTTCCTCAAGGAAAAGTCCCACAGTACTTAGCTTTGACCTAATTATTTCTTACAACTTCACTCTGACTTATTTCATTCTATGAAGTTAAGCACATCATTTAACCGAATTTATTTAGAAGTAAAAATTGTGCCAGAGACTGTACCAGAAGCTGGTACACAAAGCTCAGCACAGTAGCTAATGACCAATGAGTGCTTTAGGAACCTCCCGGCTTTTCAAAGCAAGAACCCAGCTGTCCTATAAATAGTAATTGTTTCAGGCTCTCAGTTTTGTTCTCTGTAAAATGGTGTAAATGTATATTTCATAGATTGTAGTGGGAGTAAATGAAACAAAACACATAAAACATGTGAGAATGCCTGGCCTGTAGATATTATTGTCATGATTTAATTTTTAAATTTAACTTAAAATGAGCTAGAAACCTAACATTACTAGTTTTTTAAAAAGTTAAACTAACATTAAAGCTTCGAATGTGAAAAATAACTGCCTCGAGAATCTTAAAGAGGGCTTTTAGAAAAACATTTTACACCACGTGACCCTAGAATGTGCCTCGAGTTCAAGAGCGCGCCTTTATTCTGCCGAAAACTACGGTTCCCAGAATACACCTAAATTGAGGCTTTGGGAATGGAGTCCGGCGCTGCCGCAAAGGATTGTGGAAGACGTAGTTTCGGTGAGAAGGGAGTGTTCCGCTTTCCAAGGGCGGGAGAAGCTTGGAGACCGCCTCCCGGGTGGGCGGGGCAAGTGCCAGCTCCCGGCCAATCACCGAGCCAGCCCCAGGGAGCGCTGGGAGGCGGCGAATTGGAACGCAGCGGCTTCTGCCCGGACTGGCGCGCGAGAATTTGAACACAGTAGAGGACCCCTGGCTTGGCCGAGGAGAGGTCGCTGGCTCCGAGGCGCAGGTGACTGCCGCGGAGGGTCGAGGAGGGGAGGTTCTGTGGGACGTAGGGGTGAATGTCAAGGAGAAAAGAGCTTTTGCTCGGGGCTTGGCGCGTTCGCGGCGGGAGACCCAAGCCAGCGAGCGGGTCTCCGCGCTTCCAGGTCACTGGGTTTCCTTCTTTCTGACGCCCGAATTTTCTGGTCTTTTTGCCCTGCCAGCCTTAGGAGACAGGGGTACTTTTCTCTCCTGCCTTTCCTCTGTCAGCCCCAGAACGGTCTCCCCTTAAGCTGTAGCTCGACATGAATTACCAGAGACCCTGGTCTTTCTGTTTAACTTTGAAGTCACGCTTCTGTAATTTTTAAAAAATATACCCTATCCGAAGGAAGGGGAAGGGAAAACTCTTACTGAGTAACAGTAGAGCAACATAGCATCTGCTCGAGAGTTAACGTGGATGATTGTGTTTATTATCCGCAGCCTTAGGAGGGCAGAGAATTTTGTAAACAAGGAAAACAAGCTGCTCCTGGGCTAGCAAAATGAGGGAGGATTATGCTCCACCCGTCTTCCTGCTGGCTTCTAATCAAAAAGTTAGAGACGGTTTCTGCCTTCATTGAACATGCAGGCTGTTGAGAAAGACAATCAAACCAACAACAAGAAAATGTGCTGAATGGATTACTAAGGAAGTGTAGGGTGCAATGGAAGCCTGGGACAAGAGCATCTAACAGAGGGGAGGGGTGAAAGCCATGGCAGGACAGCTGCCCAGAATATAGTGATTAAACTTCATATGAATTAATCAGGCTAATTGAAGGGGGGAGGTGTGCTCTGAGTAAAATTCTTCCTCCAAGTAGGATGATTTTCCAGCTTGAAACGTACTATCCTGCTTAATTAACTAATTAAATTGTACTGTGATGTGGTGCTTTTCCTTTTTTTAACCTTCATGGTTTCAGTCTTTTTTTAGTGATTTGCTTTTTCAAAAAACATTTTTCTTGCATCTTTATAGACCATCACCCATCTGAAAACTTTTTCAGGCTTTTAAAGTGTAATTTTGATATTGTGATTTTTGTACACGTTAGATGAATTTGGTTATTACAATTGTCCTTTTGCTTATAGGAGTTCAGTTAAGAAGATGTCAGCTTTAACTCCAAGGAAGAGGAAGCAGCATTCTCTGAACTGTGACAAGTAAGTCTCATCCTATGGGTAGAACCTCTTAAAAGTGAAAAATCCAGTCTTGCATTTTTTATCTTCTCCTATTTCGAAATATTTCCATTCTTCCATTCACCTACTCCTTGTGGCTACAGTAATGTTTTACATTCTAACTCTAGTCTGGAAATACTGTAAGCTTTCATAATTAATTCTTTAGTGGCTTCGGAGGGGATCAGAGAGAGCTGTTTTCTATGGCTTGGAAATGTGTGTCAAATCTTTCATTACCTTGATTCTTTCTGCTCTGTTATGTAACATTTAACATAGTGTTTTACGTACAGTAGGTGCTCATCTATAAGGAATCCTGTAAATTACTCCCCACAGAACAGGCAGTAGTTTATTATGTAAAATTAATCGTTGTAGAGAACGTGTAGCAAAGTATACGGTCAAGACTTAGAAATAGGTTTCAAAACGTGTGGGCGCGCATGCACACACACACATATATGTGTATCTCAAAGCTTCTTTGTTACTGAGGATTGTTTTCAGGAGTACACATCCTCTTTTTTTTTTCAGAGGGGGAGATAATTAGGCTTGTTTGTTTTAATGGAGGTACTGGGGATTGAACCTAGGACCTCTTGCATGCTAAGCACCTGCTCTACCACTGAGCTATACACTCCCCCCTCAAAGCTTCTTTGTAAACAGTGTTTTCACAAACATTATTGGGATCTTAGTTTTGAAAAATATTCAAATGCTTTGTTTGGTAAAGACAGAATTTGAGAATCCTGTTGTTAAACTAATAATGTATATGGATGGATGTTTGATGGAGAGGATGTATTTTTAATATGCCTTAGATGGAGAGTTGTTTATTGCTTAGCAGTAATTTGACACAAATATTAAAGCAAAATAACAATACTTACCAATGGACTGTGTTTCTTTTCACAGCCTGTCATCAGATATTCCATCAAAGAAATTAATTCTGGACTTTACTGAAAATGTATTTCCATCACCTGATCAAAAGCACACTTGTCAAAGCAGCGATAAAAATGAAGAGAAGTTTCATCACTCTCAACGAGGCCATTTCATTTCAAGTTCACTCAAAACAACTAAAATTAGATTGCCACCTGCCGGTCAAGGTTCACCATTTAAATCTGCTATGTCTACTGTATCATTTTACAACAAAGATAAGTGGTACCTCAATCCATTGGAGAGAAAGCTGATAAAAGAGAGTAGATCCATTTGTCCAAAAACTAATAATGAAGATAAAGCTTATCCTAGTGTGACAGAAAAAAGGCAGAGAAAACCGGTCTGCTCCAAGAAAGTGAACAAAAAATCACAGAAGAGTTTAACTGCTAAGTATCAACCAAGTTACAAATGCGTCAAGCCTGTATCAAAGAATTCTAAAAATTCCAAGCAAAATCGAGTGGCCTATAAGCCAAACGTGGAGAAAGAGAATAATTGTTACTCAGCTGAAAATAATCTAAATCCTCCTCGGGTTCTAAGCCAAAAAGTCAAACCACAAGTTACCCTTCAGGGTGGAGCAGCTTTTTTTGTTAGTCGGAAAAAAACGCCTCTGAGAAAATTGTCCCTGGAAGATAAGCCATTATTGAGACTCCCCCAGAAGAATAAATCAGAAGTTATTGAAGAGTCTGATGTAGAGACTGTCAGTGAAGGAAGTTCTGAGACAAGGCAAGTGCCAAAGTGCTTGTTACTAGAAAAGGAACTGAATGTTGAGCTGCTGAGTGAAAGAAGTAAAAATGAACAGAAATTAATAAAGGTAAAGAAAACTAAATATAGCACTTTTAAAACTAAGTTGGCTATATAACAAAACTTTAGTGTACATGATATATATGTATAAAACTTAGAACAAAATTTTGTTTACACTCTGGAGGACTGCTTTTATGAAGCCAAATAATATCATCACTATAAAGAATTTAGAGTCAGGGCAGAAACACGGGACTTGCCTCCCTTTTTTGGCTTAAAGAAGCCTACCAACACTTTTTTGGCATTAAGGTTTACATTTTATTAAGTTCCTGCATGACTGAAGTCCAGAGAAGCTTGACTTTGATTTGGTAGTCAACGTTTTTAGAAACTGGAAATAACAAAATTCAGATAGTAGATTTTCAGAGAATGAGCATGTTGTTTTTGTTTCAGCTCATTATTTAAAGTACTAGCTTATTCTAGAAAATTAAGAGACTACAAAGAATATAAAAAATATTCAGCTTCTGTAATCCCACTACTTGGAGATGACCACTGTGAATGCACAGTTGGGTTTTTGTCTGTTTTACGTAGTATGTTTTCATGGATGCTCTGTGCTT